TCAGGTATGTCAGAGCCACCCCATCCGTATTCAAACCGGAACCACCCAACGGCTTGTGCAGCAGCATCAGGAGATGCTTGGGTGCTGGAGGGAGGTCGAAATATGACAYGCCGTTGTGGGGGCAAAAACTGCAAGATGTGGAGCACGAGCTGCTGAGGTAGTTTCTCCCACTGCGATCCCCTGAAGATGTGGGCGAATTGGGCGCAGGCAGTCTGGACGGGATCCCTCAGATATGAAGGGCGAAGTCGCAACTMGGCRACCATCTTATCAAAGCAACCTCTGTGCATCGCGCCCAGCACCAGTTCTCGCAATCGAGCTGCAACGGGAATCAAGYGCTCAATCTCGGACTCGCTGTCGTACTYGTACGACACAAGACTAACAGAAGACTTGTGAAGCTTCTGTAGAGATYTCATCACTTCCCAGTCCACGCTGTGTRGAGGGGTGGATCTTCTCTGTTTTGTACGAGATGCGAACATATAGTGCTCACTGTCAAATAGCGCCTCCCGGTGCTCTATGAAAGTTTCAGTACCTGTACCACGTCCTTCTCCTGCTTCTCCTCCTCTTTGTCCTTCTCTCCTTTCTCCACCTTCTCCCCTTTCTCCTCCTTGTCCCCCTTCTCCTCCTCCTCCTCCTCCTCCTCCTCCTCCTCCTTCCGATACGTGAAGTGCATTTAGGAACGACGTTTCCTTCAGCACAGTAGGGACATCATTATGGGGCTTGTACCCCCCAGGTTGAAGGTTTTTTGTTAGCACTTTTACCTTTGAGATTTGCGGCTTGTGGGCCCATCCAACGTGTGAGATGAGCAAGCCTGTGTCCCGGTCCCAGACATCTGCGAACCAGCCTGAGATGTAAGTATCATCTTGGTAATGTCCCTGCCAGAAGAACATTTGCAGTGGGAGATGTCGGTCGTCACTCCCAATCAAGTCAAAATCCAGTCTGTCTACCCGCAACGTAGTATCATAATAAAAGCAGTTCCCATAATATAGTCTTCTGGTAAAGCCCACCAGCTGGTTCTGAATGAGTTCATCGGTCTCACTCCCTGTCATGCATGGGTCCATTCCGAAGCGGCGGAAACACGTTTTTGAACCCAAAGAGCTTCTCCAGCTCCAGCAATATGTAGAAGTTGCTACAAGTGCTTCGCAATCAAGGAG